TCTGCACAGCAAAGGAAACTATCAACAACAAAATAAAAGCTACCCAAGGAATGGAAGAAAATATTTGCAAACCATATATCAAAGAATATAAGGAACTCTCACAACATAATAGCAAAAATACCAAACAGCCTGATGAAAATATGGGCAAAGAATCTGAATAGGCATTTTTCCAAAGAAGACAAAGGAAAAATACTGTCTTCAAGATGGAGAGGAAAAATCTAATTTCTAGAATGCAGTGTACTTGGATCTTTCCAGTCTGGTTTTGGTAGAATGTGGTCCCAGGTTACCAATAATCTGAGTCTGGTCCTTCAATCTCAACCTCCAAGGGCATGGGGTCCCCACAAGCCACCTTTAAGTCAGCTGTGTGCAAACAGTTGTCAGGGAGCATAGCTGTGCACAGGTATCTGCACTCTAGAAAGTGCACCAAGTTGTAAACCTAAGGCAAATTTTTCAAGAAGCATGTAGTTTGACAGCAAAGGACCAAGGTCTTAAAAAAAAAAACAAACATTTTTTTTTAAAAAAGCTCCCAAATATCTATCAAGTCCTTCAAAGCACACACTCAAATATTTTCCAATGCCCTCTCACAACAATAACAAAATCAATACGAAACCTCCCTTCCTGAACCCAATATACCTTAAAATCAAACAAACAAACAAACAAACAAAAAACCTTCAAGTTTGTATTACAATTAAAAAAAATAAACTTTCTGAAAAACAGCTAGAGTAGAAAGGTGAACAGCACTTCTTAGAAATAGGCTAACTCCTGGACCTCCCTGGTGGCCTATGGGTTAAGTCTCAGCGCTATCACAGGTACGACCTGAGTTCAATCGCCAGCCAGGGAGCTAAACCACATATGGTGCAGCAGACCTCTCCTGTCTTGCCTGCTGCTCCTCTTTCCAGTGTATTTCAGTAAATCCACCTGTTCTGCTCCCCATTCTGTCTCTGGTGAATCCTCTGACCTACACCCCAGTTCTTCTATGCAAAAAAACAAGGTATTATTAAAAAAAGAAAAAGAAATAGGCTAACTCCAGCACCAATCTCCAAAATTCACCACTTGGGCATGATTTAGTGACATCTGACTTCTTCTCTTCATATCTCCCACACAAAAGCAGGGCAAGAGTGTGGTCCATAACTCTTCTTAGGATTCAGAGAAAAGCAGAGAGAAGAGGGTTTTAGTAACATTTCACTTCAGGGACTGAGAATGTAACCCTGCTGCTTCCCCCACCTCCCATTTGACTCTTAATCAGTCTGGGTGATCATCAATCATCACTGAGTTGTCATATGACTGAGAGACAGAAATTTGGCCAGTATTCTAAAAAATGACAAGATTTCTGTTTCATTGAGCAATTCCAGAAACCACTGTCTTCACTTCAGTATAAAATGTATCAGGATCTACATACCCGAATAGAAAAAGATAGCATCAGGTACAGGATATACAGCTCTAATAGGTCCCCATTCCCAATCAAATTTGAAATAAAAGATTTGAAGATTTAAAGCAGCATTAATGCAAATATCTGTTGCAAGTATACTTTTTGATTAAATTGGCATACATCAAGTACAATTAGAAAGGTTATTTATAACGAAGAAATACATAATTCTGCATCTTAATGGGGATGACAATTACAGCTGATGGTTGCTAATTAACATTACTTCTTTTTCTCTGGATATCAGATACTCCTGTACAATCTTTATTGTTGGCAACGGACAAGCCTAATGCTGGAAGGCACGAAAGGGTTAATTTTCCTTAACATATACACTTATAATAGATTCCCTGCTAACCTGCCTAGTTCCGGCTTCGCATTGGAGACAGGAGCATCGAATAGAATTGGTAAACTCTAACTCTGACTCAGTAACATGGAATTAAAAGTATTTATTTGTTCAATTTTCTTTCCCAGTGAAGGCATACCTATCCATCAGGGTTCAGAATGACTGAGAAAAAAGCCCCAGGTCAAGTGGTGTGTGGAGTGTTGCCTGTTCCAGCCAAGCAGAAATGTGTGACCGTTAGTTCAGTGGTGCTACCCTCCAGTGCCAAGATGACCACTGTGCTTGCTTACTCTTTTGGACAACTCAGGATGTGTGATCAATGCAGGAGGCCAGAAGTGAAATGGAGAGAAAGAAGCATTGTAGCTTCTAGCACAGAAAACTATAAAGCCCTCTTTGCTTGTGCTGTAAATTACATATTTATTTTGTTAGCATGAGATAGATGAATATTTCTACATACAAAGGTGCCCAGCTAAAATCAGGATAAGTGATATTAATGTCCTATGGTCAGTGTTATTGAACCTGGAAAGCAATAAACTTTATGAGTCAATAAATATTACATTTGCAACATAGTTAACATTCCTTTACTGTCTCTCGCACTTATTACACATTGTAACCACAAGTCTACAATACATTATTCATATTTGGGGTGTCACCAAGTGATGGATTGCTGTAGGAGAGGCTGTCCTTTAAATAAATCAACAAATAAAAATGCAAATGTTAACATTTTCAGCCACAACTTTTTCCATCTTGAATGGGGAATGAAAATTTCACATTATATTGACAGGCAGCAGAGAGTACAATTAACAACCTACCCTGTGAATGAGAAAGATGACTTTGCCACGCCTGGTTTTATCACCTGCACATGGAACGACACAGGGCTCTTCTAGGTGTTAGCACGTTTCAGAGAACAAAGGAAAACCTGTCTCCCACAGGCATCTGTCCTACCCCCATCCTTTTTATAAGTTCTGAAAATTCTCAGAATTTACGGTGTGGACAGGGAAAAGGCTTTTTATTTTTTTTCTCCTCAGTTCTTTCAAAGGCTTATTGGGATGAAGAACAATAGGTTTTTTTTTTTTTTATTGCATTATGAGTTTGGTATAACTGAAAAGCAGTCTATAAAAAATGCCTTTTGTACCTTTGAAATAAAAATAATTCAAATAATCCTGATTTTGAAATCTGGAAAGCCACCACTGTGCCTTCCTGGTAACTGATTTTCATAGAAGTGAGTCTTCTTTTTCAACTCTGCAGTTTGTATAATAGACCATAATACGTCATTGTGCACTCTAAAGGATAAAATCTGGTGTGCTACATATTGTTTTATTTAGCCAAATGCTCATTATTTAAGAAGCTTCTGAGAATCTATATTTAGCTGCTCTGCAGTCTTAGGAACTAATAGATAAAGAATCCTTTTCTTAAGGTATATAAATTATGAGTCTTCACAGCAATTTTGACCTGGGCTTGTAAAACTCTCCAAAGTTGATATAGTCTATTCAGAAAATGTATGCTGAGGATGTTCTACAAAACCTTACCGGGGAAACATTTTATTCTTCTTTTTCATGCTTCTCTCTAAACTGAAATATAATCATCAAAAACACATTAAAGTAGTGGTAAAGATCTCATTCTCATCTTCAACAATAGGAACATTCACTAAGATTAAAAATCCAGACTGTCTCTCCTCTCTACCTGTAACTCCAAAGGAATCCCTCAAGGTGAAGTAGGATGAATCCTTTGAGCACATTAAGTGGTCCATCAACATTTCAGAACCACAACTCATGTGGGTCTTTGGCAAAAAGCCAGTATGACAACATTGAGAAGAATAGAAAGGAGTAATGGAAAAAGAATGTGGTAAACTAGTTCAATTTCCTTTTGATTGCAGATGGCCTCTAAAATAGGGAGTTGTCATTGTCAACTATTATAATATTTAATATTAGGATTTGAGGCTTTAGAGACTGAAATGCTACCTCAATTTCTTATTAGCTATGTGACCTTAGGCAAGTGACTCAATCTCTCTGCACTTTCATTTCCTAATTTTCAAAATGAGTATAACAGTAGGACCACCTCACAAAGGTGTGATAAAGATTAAATCAGGTAACGCATACAAAGGACTTAGCACAGCACTAGGCACACAGTACATGCTCAGCAGATGACAACCATTATGACTATCTCTCTGTATTAGTCAATTTCCAAGTCTTCAAAATTAAGTCTTAAAATCTATATTCATTTCATTAAGATGCTAGCAATTTAAATGTTCAAAGTATCATATCCCCAAGGAAACATAAATCAAGCCCTTTTGGTGTTGATGTTTATATATTCAGCTTCAAAGTGTTATACAAGATGACTTATTAGATATGGGAAATTTTAACAACATATTTCTTTTCCTGAGTCCAAAAAAAGCTGATGGAATTATTTATTAACTCTTTAAAAGTCTCGGATACACATCTGTGCAAGGTCAGATTTCCATCATGTCCTTTAATCCAAACAACCACAGGTAGGATACAGAAGCAGCTATGAGAACCCCAATATCTTCTATTAAACTAATCATTAAGGGTCTGCCTGGTGGCGCAAGGGGTTAAGCACCGCACTATGAAGCAATCCGCAGCCTCTGCAGCATGAGCAGGCCAGGGAGCAACCCACATGGCACAGCAGACCTCTCCTAACTTGCCCGCTGCTCCCCTCAACAGTGTATTCAGTCAGTCTGCCTATTCTGTTCCCCACTCTGTCTTTGATGAATTCTCTCACCCCTGCATCTCTGGCCTGTACCAGAGATGCAAAAATAATGTATGCAAAAATAATCTTTAAATAAAAACTAATAATTAAGGAGATTGGCAAAAACATAAAACAAACAAACAAAAAAACCCACAAAGTCTCTTATACAAGTAAATGTTGACAGTCCTTTAGCTGTAGTATAAAACCTGTGATTTTCAGGATCAATTAATTCAGTTAGTTAAACTTTTAGTATAAGTGTATATAAGCATTCCATGATAAATTGGGAAGGACTTTCTGATGAAAATGGACTTCTGATGAAAGATAGGATTAACTGTGTGTTTCTACGGAAGTCCTAACCAATTACTATTATCAATTAAATAATGGCATGGTAAGGAAAGGGTTCCATGAGTTCAACCCGGTGAAATCTAGATACTTTCAAGTAAGTAAGAGCCAATAAGAATTGCCAAGATTTTTCTACTCCTTATTAAATAAACTTGAAAAAAATGTGCTTATTAGGGTATCTCTTCTTACCGGGAGGTATCCTGTTGGAATGATGATGCAGTTGTGGTTACAAGTTCCTTTGGGCTTCCTGTTGTCATAGGAGATGTAGATGCATCTTTTCTAACTCCTGTCATTGTTCCTGTATGAACAGTAAAGGAAATATTTGGGGATCTGATAAAAGGTAATGGGAAAGTCCATTCTGAGAAATATAATAGAGATTTTAGGGATCCCCAAGTTTTGAGAGTAAGGTATTTTCTCCCCCTTAAGTGAAATAATGGCAGATGGAAAACTCAGTGAGTTTAGTTGTATAAACATCAGATTCATAATGTCTTGCTTTTAAAAAGTCAATTTGTAGAATGGACTAAGTAGAGATTTTGTTTTTAAACATGATCACGTATTATATTTTTGCCAATTTAGTTTACTGTGCAAATGCCCAAGAAGGTAACTTTATTTTGTTCCCTTTACTTACTGTTTTTCTTCTCTTTGACAAGAGAAAATTCCAGCACTTTGTACCTACAAACATCCCAAATTAAAATGATACCCCCCCCAAAAAAAAACTTTGAAGGCACACATAAATCTTAATGCTTCTTTTAAAGAATTCGACATTGGGCTAAAACAAGTGTCTATGGGAAGAGATGCTCAACTAACTATTCTAGGACTGATTTGGTTCCTTTCTAATGAGCAATGTTTGGTTGACAATTATTTCCTCTTCTGGAGTGCTAAATAATAAAATGGCATGGATAGAAAGGTTTTCTGTTTTTATTTTGTAGTTATTAATATTTTAAATAATGACGTTCTTCTTGTTAGTATCTATTTTACAAACAACACAATATCTGTCTTCTTAGTGGAAGATTATAAGCACCTCATCACAATTTTTTTTTGGTTCCTCGGACACTGTTACCCAAGTTGCTTAAAGAAGTTATTTGGGAAGGGCCTCCCCTCGTGGCACAGTGTTTGAGCGCTGGGCTGTGAAGCTGCCCACAGCCTCTGCAGTGCTGGTTCGATCCCCGGCTGCCGGGCGAGGGTCGCACATGGCACGCAGACCTCTCCTGTTGGCCTGCTGCTCCCCTCAGCAGTGTATTTCATCTCAGTCTGCCTGCTCCCCACTCTGGCTCTGGTGAATCCTCTCACCCTCCCGCACTTCTGCCTGTACCCAGTGCTTGTATAAATAAATAAATAAATCTAAAAAAAAAAAAAAAAAGAAGTTATTTGGGAAGACTCATGATTTTTTTAGGGGAGGGTGCACACTCAAATAACTTGAAGACGGCTTCGAAGTGTTGGGAATACTAGAGCCTAAAACACCAAGAATACCACATGCTAAGTCTGGGAATGGCACAGGTTAGGTATGTTCAGAGAAAATCAGACCTAGAGAAGGCAAGAATCTTATATTTGTAGAGATCAGTATCAAAACAATCACCATGACCCTGAGTAATCAAAAGCCACTCATTACTGACTATACTCTATTATGTGTACATGTAAAAGATGGCCAACTAGATGCAGATTTCAGCCCTTTTAGTCTATTCAAATGAGTGGGGCCCTCAAGCCAAACCATTACCAGGTTTGGAGGCGAAGTGGGGAGGAAGAAACGCAATACTCTGAGCAATCAGATAAAGCATCTTGGCATGTGCCTGATACTGTTCTACACCTTTTCCATACACCATATATTCTTCCTATTTTGTTAATAGTTTCATTGAGGTGTAATTTGAATACCATAAAATTTACCAATCTTAAGTGTATAATTTGATAAACAGCCATAAATATATGGAAATATGAAAGCATGTTTACAATTTTAATGCTATTTCCTTATTTATTTTTATAATCTAGTATTAGAATACTTCCTTACACCAAAAAGTTCCCCTGTGCCCATTTGTAGTCAATCCCTTACCCTTGTTCGATCTTCTTTCCTCTCCAGTTTAGTCTCTACAGTTTTGCCTTCTGAAGGAATTAGTGACATTTATCCTCATAAACCCCCATCGCAATAGACAAAACCAGTAAGAGATGGATCCAGCATTCAAGTTCAGAGACTGTGACTCCAGTTTTCACCATTATACTACATTGTCCTAGTAAATACATCTGGCTTTAGAATTAGGGAAGAGTTAAAGTAGCAGAAGAAATTTATTATTATTATTTTAAAATTTATTTTTCCTCCACCTCAGTCCCTGTGCTACCCTTTCCCCACCCAATCTTATCCCTCTCTCTTCTCCTCCCCTCTTAGATACCTCAGATTTATGGTCAGTTTTCAAGGGTTAGTAAAGTTTATATTTGTTTTACACTTTGCTTGGCTTATCTATATTCCATATATATGTGATACCATCTGGCATTTATCTTTCTCCTTCTGGATTATTTCACTTAGCATAATCCCTTCTGGCCCCAAGGAGACAGAATTTTGAAAGGAAGGAATAAGGACCATGGAATTAGCTAAAGCATTAAATAAAAAATCTCCAGGCTAACTATTTAATATATTCAGAAAGTATTTATTGAGCATCATTGTGTCCTTGTACCTTGTTAAAAACCTTAAACCATTTTACATGCATAATTTCATTAATCCTTACAACAGTCCTTAAATTATATTATTGTCCTCATTTTAGAGATAAGGAAGTGGAAACTGTGAAAGGTCAAGTAGCATGTTCAATATTACAGGTTAGGAAGAACAAGGCTGGGTTTTGAATGCAATCAAGGTCTATTTGAATTTGCATTGCAAACTCTTAACCAGTTTGATAGTCTGCCTCAAAATACAACAAAATAGCAGTAGTAACAACAACAACAAAAATTTGTCTTTAGAGAGATTACCATAGTGGCAGAATTCAGAATAGAGAGAACGGGGGTAAGTAAAGTAGTTCATCATTGCCACAGTTGTCTGGGTGGAATCCTGGGTGATGTAAGGGAAACTAAAATGGACAAGGCGGGGTAGAAACAACTGATAGGAAATTGTGGGTGAGAAGAGAGGCGAGGAAAATTGTCTGGTAATGACAGACTATAAATATTTTTTAGCGGTCACAGAGGATCTGAACATTAGTCTTCAATTTCTGTTTTGCTACTATGCCAAAAGTTTGGTCCAGACAACTGGCATTTGATGAGGATAATCTAAGGGAGAATTTCAACAGCGGCCCATGCCTTCTAGGGAGTCCATGAATGTAATTCAGGAATGCATGACTACCTTAGCATTGCAGGCATAATGATGTGTATGTATATGTGCTCATTTTTTTGGGTAAAGGAAAAATGATTTTCACCAAACTTAAAGGGTTGTGGGATCTCCCAAAAGTTAAGAATGATTACTCTAAGGCATTGGGCAAGTTTATTTCTATTTCTTTATTTCCCCCTACAACCATTCCTTATATCCACTTGCCCTTTCCCCTTCCTCTTAAACTCAGAAACCTGGGCCTCTCTGGTGGCGAAAGGGGTTGAGCACCGCACTATGAAGCAATCTGCAGCCTCTGCAGCAAGAGTTCAATACCCGGACGGCCAGAGAGCTACCCACATGGCACAGCAGACCTCTCCTGTCTTGCCTGCTGCTCCCCTCAGCAGTGTACTTCTGTTCCCCACTCTGTCTCTGGTGAATCCTTTCACCCCCCGAATCTCTGGCCTGTATCCCAGCTCTTGTATGCATAAATAAATAAATTTTTAAACTCAGAAACCTCACTTTGATTATTATTGTCTTAAAGCTTTTGTATTTTAATTTGTTGCTATGTAAATGTCCAAAATTTGTCTTTGTCATTCTGACTTGTTTTATTATACATAATTCCCTCAAACTCCCTCCATTTTGCCTGTAAATAGTAACATTTTATCTTTCCTTATCACTGAGTGATATGCCATAGTATGTATATACCACATCCTCTCGATCCGGTCTTGTATTGGTAGGCATTTAGATTGCTTCCATGTCCTATCTACTGTGAATAGTGCTGTAATAAACACTGCAGAACATATTATTTTTTGCATTGATGGCTTCATATTCTTTGGCTATATACCCAGGAATGGGACTGCTGGGTCATATGGTACTTCCATTTTCAGTTTTTTTAAGGTAAATTCCCATAGCTTTCTAAAATGGCTACCAACAATGTAAGAGGGGTCCTCTTTCTCTACATCCTTTTGAATATTTGTTGTTTGTTTTAAATATGTGTCATCCTCATGGGAGTATGATGGCATCTCATGGTGGTTTGAAACTGCATTTGCTTTATTAAAAATGATGAACATTTTTCCATATATTGACTGATTTTCTGGATATTCTTTTTTGTGAATTGTTTAACTCTGCTACCCATTTACTAAATGTGCTGTTTTTTTCATTGTTGAATTGCTTAAGTTTTTTATGTGCCTTGGATATTAACCTCTTACGGGTTGCATAATGTTTAAATATTGTCTTCTATTCAGGAGGATGTCTTTTTGATCTCTTATATTTTCTTTTGCTGTGTAAAAGCTTTTTTTTTTTTTTTTTAAAGACTTATTTATTTATTTATACAAGCACTGGGTACAGTCAGAAGCATGGGAGGGTGAGAGGATTCACCAGAGCCAGAGCTGGGAACAGGCAGGAAGACTGACTTAATATACTGCTGAGGGGAGCAGTGGGTGGCAGGAGAGGTCTGCGCGCCATATGGGACCTTAGACCGGCGGCCAGGGATCGAACTGGCGCTACAGCGGCTGCGGGCAGCTTCGCAACCCAGCGCTCAACTGCTGCGCCACCGGGGAGGCCTTGTGTAAAAGCTTTTTAATTTGAGGTCATCCCAACTGTTATTTTGCTTTTATTTCCCTTGCCATAGTGGTCGTTTCCAAAAATATCTTTATCAATGATGTCATAGAACATATTGCCAATGTTTTCTTCTACATATTTTATTATTAGTTGCCTTATATCTAAATATTTAATCCATTTGGAATTTATTTTTGTGCATGGATTTAGAGAATGATCTAACTTACTCTTTTAGGAATGAAATCTTCCAGTTTACTGAGAACCATTTGTTAAAGAGACTCTACTTTCTTTTACCTTTTCTCTCTTTTTCTTAATCTTCAATGCTTTATTACATATGAAACTTCCAGAAAGTTACATATCTCCTTTTAATTATATCCACTCCTTCTATAAAATTTAATATCATGTATACAACCAATTACATGTAGTGATACATATTACAAAACTACATATTTATCTATATT